CTCACGCCGTTTCGGTCATTGAGGTTGTTTCATTATACTTCATCATTTTGGCAAGTGTGGTTTGTCCAAGGGGAACCCAGGAATGATTCAGATATCCCTTGCCGCTGATCTTAGCCATGGCCGGGATTCAACCTCCGGCTGTCAGGTTAATAGCGCAGTGTTCTAACGGCTACTCCAGAGTTAGTATTTTACCCCAAGATATTGTATAATACTCCGCAAAATTATTCAACACGAAAAGCCAAAGGCCGCCGAACGAGATTAATATTCTGTTTTAGGTGAGCCAAGAGTTTGGTCTGGAATAATTTGAGCCTTCTGCTTTTGATGAGTCGAAGGTTTTATCATCAGAGGTGGTTTTATACTGGATATCAAATACATTTTTGTATAGGATGGTACGAGGCTTTTGTTTTGGATGAGACAAGGGTTTTATAAACAAATGCACAACGTTTCTGTCATGGATATGTCATTGTAGCAAGTCATTGTCACCAGAGACACCACTATCCCAATAAACTACCATATTACCAGCTCAAGAAATTTAATTAAGCACATTATTGATCAACTAGAGTTTACATCCAGTAGTGTCAAAGCAGATCTAATTAACTTGTTCATTTAGAATGTTGCAGTGGAATGGTTGGTACTACGCCATGAACATTGCCAACTGAGTTGAATTCCCAGCTACAAATAACTTCAGTGGTCTGCGATCTGAACCAGTCTGGAACCCGCACCTCACCACCACCTTCAACCTACACTGACCAGCGGATTGTGGTTTAGTCAAATAATCCCTTCGACTCGCATCACATAGGCAGGTCCTCGTGCAGCAGTCCCATTGACAGCAGTGCTGTGCATGTTCTGTAATTTCTACGGTACTCGATATATCCTCGTTTGTTTTCCCTTGTAACCTCACTATCAATCTACATTTCTGCAACGTCAAGTGAAATATGTAGTGGGCGCTGCTAACATGGCCTAGCGGTAGGACCCGTACTCTTTTTTGCAGAGGGTCACGGCTCGAATCAAGCAAACCTCGCCGTGATTAGTACTGCTGGTGTGAAAACCATCATGCGTGTCGTCTGATTCACGGTCGACTAAAGATTCCCCAATGTCGTAAGAGTCAGCTGGTGTTGGGGTTCCACGATTATTCAATAGGGACTATACTTCGCAATCATTTCTCCCTACTGGCGGACTAATTCCCCAGGTCACTCTCGCAAATGAAACTTAAACTGCTCTCTTGAGTTCTAACCAGGCTAAACAAAAAGTCAACCAGTGCATTATACAAGACTACACAACATTTTGCCACACCGAACGGCATGGTGCCCATTGCAGCGCTTAACAGATGGCAATGCCCTGCACAAACTGCAATGTTGTATTAACTGATATGCAGGCTTTCGATTTGTGTTACGAAATGGACACTCTGTACAATAATACAGTGGTCGCCACGGAGACCATGTCAACTTGTACACCACGCCTGGGGCAGAGGGTGTGGCAGGAGCTTGTGAAGGGTGCCTGGGAAAATGAGAGACGTCTTGGTTTAAGGCTCCTATATTAACCAGCACCTGCAGGGTCAACAGTCATGGGTGTCAGCATGAAGGATACCATGGGAAGATTTAAATATACTGTACTGTACTCCGCGACTAGCGTCAGTGAAACTTCTCTTATTTGTGCCACTTATTATATTGAGCTTTCAATTATCTCCACCCCTGAAATACATCCACGATTTGCTCGGGAGGATAGAGTTGGCACTCTCTTAAGTTACAAAAATGTCTAAATATCATGGGAAGAATATCTCACAATACCAAAAGATGGGAAAAATGTAGTTACGTATTATTAAGCAACTCACAAACCAGGAGGATTTACACAGTTTCCAGGACAGCTACCTCAAAAAGGACGCGTGGAAACGCTTGCAGAGTAGTAACCCAAAAGTGGCAGCAAATTCTTGATACTATCTGTGGATAGGGATTCTCCTGGAAGTGCAGAATTCATATTGTCATCCGTAGCTTTCCATGGACTAGAGAAGTAATCTCGAAGTGGTAGCAATTAATAATATTATCGGCTTAAATTTCAAGATTGTCGTGTGGATAACCGGAGTAATTTTGACAGATAAACTTGGGCAATAGGATCTGCCAATAGCGCCCCCCCCCCCTCATCATTGCGGATAATAGTATCTTGCCTGACTCATACAAGTTCATTAACCATTAATCAGCTTCTGGACCTGCAAATAATAAGTACACTTTAGATTGCCATTTATAAAAAAAAGGAAAAAATACATCTGTGAAGCGTTAGTCATACCCTTAAGCGTTTTGGTCAAATACTCTGTGTTAAGAAACTTGCAGTGTTGTTTTCGCTTCAAGGATGCTTTGGCCAAGCTGAATGTCCCTTTGCTGTGGAGTGTTTGTGTAATATAGTCTTGTGTAAACAAAACAAAGACTGCGTCGGCACAGGCTTTTGCCAGCTATTGTCCTTGGACATCTTTTAGGAATTAGGGACTCTGTGTGAACGCGTTTGTGCTTGTTCCTGCGTGTAGGTTGTTTTTGTAGTGGACAACTGCTTGGTGGTGTTGTAGCTCCGGTCCATACACTGCACCACAATCATTAAGACCCTAGTTCGATCCCTACCCATGATGCACAACACCAGTGGCTGTCGAGGGCAAGGTTAAGAGGTCATCACAGCTAATGCTTGTTGATACCACCACCCCTTACCGTCACATCCTTCATTCTGGCAGATCTCATAGCTGTTGCACAAACCCCACACACGACTTGCACAGTGTGCTTTTGCAATATGCCACAGTGTGGCGTTTAGGTCTTCCCCCTAGGTTTTATTACAGAAGAGTTATATGCTGTCTTGGCAGGGAGGGGTAGGGTTGACTGAACTGCAGACGTTCACGATAAACCAGCTGCTTTCAAGTTTCGGCTCCTGGTCTCACTTAAATGTGTGCCTGGGGCTCACATTACACCCAATGCTCTCACTATTGATGTGTGCACATGCAAGCATGCATGCACACAGAAAAATATAGCGAGAGATAACGACACTGCAAAGTTAAAGTCATTTGATTGTTTGTACATTTTCTGTGGTCTTTGTAAAAAATACATTACAAAAGTCTGTGTGACTACATTTGAGGATTGTAGCCCTGGTCTTGTAAAACACAGTTTTAGACTAATGGCAGTCATTGATAAGCTGAAGACAGCTTAATAAAAACAAAATATGCTGTCACTGAGAATAAAGGAAGATGTCCATTTGGGCCAGTTGGCCATGTTCACGAATTTTATGGGTTTACAGAGAATCTTAAATATTCTTCGTATTAATTGTTCACATAGTGGTGATCAATATATTGATCCCAGTGAGATGATGGACCGAGCAACTCCTGAGTTATTTAAATACATGATCTTCCCACTGCGAGCCAAGTGCTCTAACCACAACACTAACCAGCAGAAAAAGGCAATAACATGAAAAATAATATGCGTAGCAATAAACTACTTATAATCATTTACATATCTTTTTTTTACACTGGTAAGAAACATTCAGCCGTAAGCTGTCTTACAAGAATGACCTGCAGAGCTAATAAACAACGTTCAATGCACTACTGAAAGGTCTTCCCCATGCCCTGTCATTCATTGGGTGGCTTGACCATAGGTTGGTAAAAAACTGGTTCAGATGTCACCCGCCAATGATGTTAGCTATCACAGGGGCATTGCACCGGTAGCTGGGTCCAAAATGCAGTGTTCTAACTAACACTGCCGCTCCTTACAATCCGTCCATTGTTCTCGTAATATTCCATTACAAGTGAGACAGGAAAAAATAAGAAACAATTCAAATTACATTGTAAACACATTTTCCAGAGACAAATTCCGACCCTGAATTGTGATAATTCATCCAAATTCTGGCATTTGGGGATGGATCTGTTCCATGTCTACTAACAAACTTTCTGATATGCAAGCTACACAAGTTTTAGATTGTATAAATTGAATATTTCCAATGCTCTGATATAGCACATGTTTAAAAGGTTATTGTAATACAATTGACTTTGGGCTTTCTTTAATGTATCTAAGTTACATGTGTTGATTAAACAAGGCTTCGGTTTTAGCTAAACCTCTCACTGTCAAGGTGTGACCTCGTGAACCAATGCCACCAGGAACCTTCATATCATGAGCACAAGGAACCAACCAATGTAGAACTTTGAATTTTAATTTTAAAAAATGTATATTTTTACAGTGTTTCGTTTTGTCTTGCCTTGTATAAAGAGCTGTAAATGTAAACATGTACACACGTGTATAACACTTCGACTTAATGTGAACACCGCCGTAGCAGATTTTGTTTTGGGCCATGAATCTCGACGCAGACAAATTCGCTCACTCTCACGAACCCACAGAGTTTGCGCCATAGCTGACAATAAATAATGTTTGAAACTTGAAAATAAACATTCGCACGCACGCTTATGTGAATGTACATACACGCTCACACAATGAACAAATGCAATGTCCACTGTCAACGTAAAACAAACAAACCGATAAATGGCTGTTGAAAATTGTCAACTTGTAAATGGGGCTGTTTGAAGTTTTAGAGCAGTTGTGTGAATTAAACCTTATGGCGGTACCCCCCGGGGTACCATAGTACCCCGGCTCTCACATAATGTCCGTGATGCAGTAATTCAACGTCAGTTGATGGTCGGCGATGCGGCAATCGACTTATCTCGACGAGCTGTACACGATGCACTATTCAAAGTGAAATTTTTCGATAGCGTATTTTTTATGCTGATGTTCGGCGTTTCGACATCGTAGAGTAGCACGGATTTCGGATTGATTGGTACCTCAGTCGCGGAGTTAAGTACAACCCCTGGAAAAAATAGTGTCCTAGAAATAAAATATTTAATTGCCTCGGCCAGTTTGTATTATTTGGTACCCCGGGGTACCGCCATAAGGATCAATTGTGCATTTTTTTTGCTGATTTTTTTTGTAAGAAAGCGACGGACGGCATTCTCACAGGAGTGTAATGTGCGTGTCTGTGTATTCCAGATCGTGAAGACCAGTCAATCCTGTGCACGTAAGTATGAAACCATGTCAATCATTTTCTAATTAATCACGTGCCCTTAACCCCTATCACAAGGGCATGTTGTTGATGCAAGCTGGGTAAATCAACTCCATATGAAATAAGAAAATAAGCAAAGAAAAATATGAAGTCTGTCTCTGCATGTGAGCAGGCATGAAAAAATACGATTTAATGTAAAAAATGTTGCCTTTTTAAAGGCAGCTGTCTTTAACAATCAACGCACCTGTCACTGGACTATTACGTTCAGAAAGCTTTGAACGTTACCCCCCCCAGCACCCCACATTGTATGCATGGATATTCTCCAGACACTGGTTTCCTCCCACACGCCAAACACTCATTAATTCAATTGCCCAAACATGTCAAATCAGGACCCCTCCTGAACAAAGCTAGAGATGCCCGTGAGTTTTTTCTGCGTAAATTGATGATTTTATTCGTACTGCTGCTACTTGCTTACTCCTGTGGCAATTGCTGAATTGCCATGTGATCCAAAGTAGACATTAAAGACCGTTCCACGGGACGAGTGGAACTGTGGTGATAGCAGAGCAAGCTATGACACATACATGAGGAAGACGAGCTTCTTCAATCCACCTTGCCCCTTTCTATCAGAAAGGTTGTACAATTATTACTTGTTGAACCTGTTGCGTTATTGCATGCACACTTCTTAATTATCCAGTGATGTTTGTGCATTGGTGTTTTTTCTGTTAAACTTCTAACCCAAAAAAACCTCTTGTGGATAATATTCGTCGTGAAAGGCCTACGTGTTAAACAAACTTAATCTAGTTTGGTATCCTGGAGATTATAGGCAGAATTCTTGTGTGTGTGTGTGTGCGTCGGAATGTATGTATGTGTGTGTACGTCGGAATGTATGTGTGTGTGTGCGTAACCATATTTAAGTTAAATAATATCGGAATAAGTTAATGTGTGTGTGTGCGGTAGTGTAGCGGTTAGTGCGCTGCACTACGAACCTGGCGACCCGGGTTCGATTCCCGTTCACGACAAACACCAGTGACGATTATCTGAACCGGTCTTGGGCCTCCCCTAGGTCGACTCAGCCTCAAATGAGTACCTGGTGCGGTGTGTAAACATCGCCGCTAGGGAGACAAAGGGGGTCGGGCGTGGTGTTGGCCACCCACCTTCTCGTGTACCGTTCCGCCCTTCATAGGTGCTTGCTAACAGCACTTGCCCCTACAGTCTGTTAAGGCTATACAGGGGATCTTTATCTTTGTAACCATGTTTTGTGGCACACATCACCAGTGACAGTTGGCTTCATAAAACTAGATCTGGGCCCTCTGTCCGGGGCGTTTTTAATAATTCTCCACAATTTACTGAGTCAATGTTGCCGGGATTGAACTGTTGACACTCCCAATATAATTGTGATTTGGCCTTTTGGAGGTGCGCCTCCTGTTGAATTGAGCGAATAAACAATTTTGTGTGGGTTTATATTTGGCATGTATTCATTGGTGACTTGGCTGAGGCCATCAAACTCACTATAGTTTAATCATGGATGGCTGGGCATGTGCATTTCAGCTTAATAATACAAATCAACTGTCAATAATGATAAAATAATTAGTTTTTATCTCCCTTCAATTTCAGTTAAATTACGCATTGCTTCTTTAGCGCCACCTTGTGTGAGAGCCCGAGGCCCTGTGCATACTCGGCATTGGTTCTTTAAAAATATGAAAAGAATTTAAGGTTATTTCACAGGCTATGAATCTCACCATCTCTCCATTCTTAAATGAGCGATGGGGCCGCACTCATCCCTTTGGTGACCCTGAGGCAGCAGTGAAAAAGTACTCGCTTTAGCTACTGTGGAAGGATGATTGGCTCAGTCATTCCCAAATGGGATTAGAACTCGCGACCATCAAAATTTTCAATGGTGCTTTACCCAATCACGTTAAAATCACCTGGACCTTTTTTTGTGGCATTTAAACAACGTGTGCTGTTTTTTTAAGGTGATAGTAAAGACCCAATTCTCTACATTTAATCCCAATTTATAATTCAAATTATTATGCTCGTTTACCCAGGAAAACTTCACTGTCCAATGACTCTCTTTCAGGAGGGTCCTGCTAAGTTTTCACAGTCAGGGCGATTATTGCTATGTGCAGTATATTTAAAATGAATACTTAGCAGTAATTTGGCAAATTTGCACCATGAACTTTGACTATCAATAGTGGACCAATGTCTACTGCCGTCAGAGCTTAAACTAGAGCAATACCTACACATTCTTTTTTAAGAAGAACTGTTTCTAAAGATAAAGATCCCCTGCATTTCCTTGCATATTGCCTTAACAGACTGTTGGGGCAAGCGCCTTTAGTGAGCACCTATTAAGGCTGACATGTTTTACAACGGCCGGTGTGGTTGGGCACCAATCCAGGCGCTCTGTCTCCCCAGTGTTGATATTCACACATGTCATTGGGTACGCATTTATATTTGAGTTGGCTTCGGGGAGACATGGGAAGGTTCGTTCATATCATGTTCCGCTGATGTTGTGCTTGGCTGAAAATTAATCCCATTTCACTGGAATCTTAGCACGTTGCACAGCCACTCCCCACACTCCACACCCACACACTCGCATCCACCCACCCACCCACTCACCCACACACTTGCACACATCATTCTCTCCTGCATGTCCTTGCATGCTTTTTCAGTAGCACAAGCCCCTCCCGAGTGCATGCCCTTTGCCTTACATGGGCATATTGTGGGCTCTAAGAATGGGCCCATGCATAATGGTGGGTGGATGAGGGTGGGGGTGCCTGAGTGCATGCATGCGTGTATATGTGTGCGACGGGGTGGGTGGGGGAATGAATGGGGCAGTGAGCTCAACAGAGGCTCATTCCATTTCCCACTAATAACTTGCAGACGCGGTCTCTTCTGTCGAAGCTTAACTCGCTGTTGTATGGATGAAGCAATAAATAACGCTCGACTTTATGTAAACATGTGGCTGGGATACAGCTCGGTCAATAGAGTTCCAAGAACCCCCCCCCAGTCGATAGATCACGAGTACAAATCCCAGCCAGGGTCGACTTGGCCCATGAATTCCTCATGGATCCGTAAAATGAGCACAACCTCATGAGGCTGCACCAGTTCGCAATCAACAACAGTTTTTGGTGAGGCCAGACTCCCAATTTCTGAGGGTAACACCAACAATGTGGAAGATTAGTAAAACACTAGGATTCTTAAAGTGTCTAAATGCAAGTGCATCTCAAGATGCTGTACAAAATAGAAGGGGATACATGTGCATTGGAATATTTTTTGGGGGAAAAGTAATTATTTTAAAAGATGTCTCATTTGCACAGACGGAGAGAGTGATATGTGTAATGCAGGAAATTAAAGACGTCTGTCGCATAGGGTACGTGTGAAGATGCTGAGATACATTTGTAGGTAGATGAGGAATCTCTTTAAGGGAATCAGCAGTGCAGTCAACAATAGGAAATATATTCCAGACTGAGCACCAGCAAAGAATAAGCAACCTCCCATTAAGTGGAGGTTGATTGCCAGCTTTGACAAAATGCATTGGTTGCTGGAGCAAGAGCATCCCAGGGAGTAGTTTGACAGACCCCCTGTTTCGTGACCTAAGCGAGTAGCTATCAAGGCTACACCGGCTTGCGAGGGAGTGGTAAGGCCGGAAAATGTTTCAATGGTTGCCATTTTAGGCTGAGTACACCTCGAGCAATTTCAGTGGTCTGCTACCGATATTAGTTTCCACTGGCATTGTGCATCACGGCGAGACATCAAATCCTGACAGTTGGAGTCTATCACTATCTTAACCACTAAAAGGCAAAGACAAAAATACCCACTTTAGCCTCAGGCCATATGGTCAAGTTCTGTTGATCCAGGTAATCTAAGTTCAATTCCAGGAAATGCACAACATGTAGCAAGTGGAACCAGAGCCACACCTGGACCTGTCCTTAGGTGAACTCTCCTTCACCGAAGTAATACCTGGCGTGATGTATAGACATATTCTTAGGTTTTTTTGGTAAAGTCACGTAGGTAAAAAATTAAAATTAATAAAAGTAAAATAAAAAATAAAAATCACGACGTTTCGGAGGCAACACAAGCTTCCGTCTTCAGGTGGAACCGTCACAACACGATTGCTGTATCAAGTGTTGCCTCCGAAACATCGTGATTTTTATTTTATTTTTATTTTACTTTTATTAATTTTTTTACCTACGTGACTTTACCGAAAAAACCTAAGAATATGAATCCTTGCAGTCACGAAAGCTTCAAATCTAGAATAAATGTATAGACATCAGTACTAGGGAGACAAAGATGGCGAGACATGGTGTGCTGGCCACACTTTTTATAGGGACTCTAACACAAAGACAATTGTGCCCTGATTCGAGTGTTAGACTGCAGAGGCAAGTGCTGTTGGCAAATACCTATGAAGGTTGGCACAACACTTACAAAGAGGCGTAGATGTTTTATCCACACCTGGCTACTTGTGTCTTCCTAGTGCCTATGCTTACACACTACTTAGCAGAGGTGGGACAAAGTCATTGTTATGCAAGTCCAAGTCGAGTCTGAAGTCATCAAATTCATGACTCGAGTCTGACTCGAGTCCAAGTCACATGACTCGAGTCCACACCTCAGAGGTGGGACAAAGTCATTGTTATGCAAGTCCAAGTCGAGTCTGAAGTCATCAAATTCATGACTCGAGTCTGACTCGAGTCCAAGTCACATGACTCGAGTCCACACCTCAGAGGTGGGACAAAGTCATTGTTATGCAAGTCCAAGTCGAGTCTGAAGTCATCAAATTCATGACTCGAGTCTGACTCGAGTCCAAGTCACATGACTCGAGTCCACACCTCAGAGGTGGGACAAAGTCATTGTTATGCAAGTCCAAGTCGAGTCTGAAGTCATCAAATTCATGACTCGAGTCTGACTCGAGTCCAAGTCACATGACTCGAGTCCACACCTCAGAGGTGGGACAAAGTCATTGTTATGCAAGTCCAAGTCGAGTCTGAAGTCATCAAATTCATGACTCGAGTCTGACT